GTACAACTCCCTTTGAAGACTTGCGGTCAGTCAACCAGCAACACGCCACGCATGGCGTGGGTCCTGGTGCCTACCATCTTCCCCCAATAAAACGTACGGTCATTATTTTCTGTATGTGGACTGAAAGTTGCTCCAAATACGGGCATAATCACTGTACTGTTCTACGCGTACCGCTGCTGACGCACAGAGTGCACGGTCGGGATGGTACCAGGTGCATCGTGAAGCAATCAGGCTGTCATGCACGAGATATCGGGTTCGATTTGGCGCAGAGTCGGATTACAGTACAGGAATTGTACTGATATTCTGCTCCTGTCGCACACAGTGCAACTGAGGCTGTGGAGCACGAGGTCGCCGGTTCGATTCCGTGCAGAGTCTGAGTACAGTACAGGAAATATACTGATACTGCTCCTGGCGCACAGGGTGCAAGGCCGGATTGTACAAGGCACATAGTGAAGCAATCAGGCTGTCAAGTAGGAGATCACCGGTTCGATTCCGTGCAGAGTCTGATTTACAGGAAATGTATGTACGGATACTGCTCCTGTCGCACACGGTGCAAGGTCTGGATTGCACAAGGCGCATCGTGGAGGAATCAGTTGAAGATGTACACCACGTGCGGACTAGCCGTCTTCCCCTGAGTAGAATGCGCGGTCGTTGTAGCTGTGTTTGTGGCAGATTTCAGTCAAGATGCAAAGTTCATGACCGTGTGTTCTATTGGGGGGTAATGGGTGCCCGTCCTCACTGACTGAACGCATGCAAGTGTGCACGAGCTACCTCTTTCCGGGGGCCAAGTCCCATTAGCAGCGTCGAGTTTCCTCAATTCCTGACTCTGGACATGTTTGTGGCGATGTGCGGTTGAGGAAACTCAAGGCTATTTCTGCACATCTCCAAAAACACGTTCAGATTCAGGCATTGCGGAAACTCAACGCTGCTAGTGGGACTTGGCCCTGGTGGAATACAGATAATGATGAGGGTGCATCATGTTTTGGGGGAAGATGGGTAGTACCGTGTGGATCTAACTGATCTCTTTTTCCGGTTCAGTACAGTGATGCTGAAGATGCCTTGTGTTTGGTGAAAGGTACAGGTAGTACACTCTGGATGTACCTGACTTGTTTTCCGTTTCAGTACGATCAGGGTGAGGGTGCTTTATGTTCAAGGGAAGAGGGGTCGTATGCTGGATGTATGTATCTGACTGCGAACACTCTGGATGTATCTGGTCTTTTTTTTTGCAGCACAGATTAGACACCAAGTTTTTTGGGACATAAGTGAAAAATTGGAATGAAACAGAGAAGATTGATTAGCGTCTTCACCGGAATTCAACGCCCGATCTGTCGCTATCTATCTCCCAAGCCTCTCGCCTTTCTGTAGGGGGGCTGATCGCCCTACCTTCTTCGGTAGGAGGCCGTATCCGTCTCTCACACCAATTCACCCGAAGCTAAGTCAGGATCATCTCGGTGTAGGTGGTAATGCCGGATGGAATGCGCGTTCGCCTGGGCCGACGGAAAGCCCCTATGAAAAAGAACAGTTAGAGGACCCCCCCTATGGGGCATGCTTTTGTAAGCTATGCTATGCTTGCTGGTGATAAGCAACCGGACTGGTGCCCCAAGAAGGGGCTGTGTGTGTCTGGGTTAAAAAAAAAAAAAAAAAAAAAAAAAAAAAAAAAAGAAGAAGAAGAAGAAGAAGAAGAACAGGTAGAGGTTTGCGACCGACCGTTGAAGGTAGCATTTTTGTTAACTTAGGCTCAGGTGAAGTGGCGGTACACGGCCCCATGCAACTGTAGAAAATGAGAGAGCCTCTTCGAAAAGTTGGGAGGCACATGACGACCGGAGCGAAATGGCTCCGGGGAGCCAGCGAAATCGAGCTTGTCTGGGTCTCTCTCTGCTGTTCATCAGAATGGAGAAGCACTAGTACCTACTACTCTACAGCGAAGTTTTTCCTTAGAGAGTCCTGGGCAGCAGTGGCGACGGTAGTGCCCCTGCGCCAGTCACAAATAGGGCGTGTCTGGCACCCCCTCTATGTTGTTCATGGGAATGGAGAAGGGGTGGTAGTACCTAATTTCCAACAAAGTTTTTCCTTGGAGAGAGTCCTGTGCAGCAAGTGGCCTAGCTCGGCCCCCTGATGCGGTAGCGCCCCTGAGATGCCCCAGAAGATGCCAAGGCATTGGCGCAGCAATGTTCCTGTAGGAATCAAAAACTTCTTCGTGGGCTGTGGAGCCTCACAGATTGTTATGAATTTGTGGTGTACGCTGGCTCGGCCTTGTGGACAAATCTTTTAAGTTGATTCGATATAAGAGGATTCGAACAGGACCCAGAGTATTATGAACATGTCTCCACTACACGACATGCTAAATGTATCGGGACTCCTCCGTGGTCCATCTACATTTGAACTGACCCCACGGTTTGCATGTTGCTACATTGAGAATGTTGTGTAGTGGAGTGGGGCCCTATGCCCGACATGATTTTTGGCCTTAGACCAGTTGGGGTCAGGAATGTTGTGTAGTGGAGTGGGGCCCTATGCCTGACATGATTTTTGGCCTTAGGCCAGTTGGGGTCAGGACGACTACCGGGTAGGTAGGACCACGGTTAGAGCTTTCCTGGATGTTTCTGGCTGCGCTTGCGGCCGAATGTTTAGCTGGAACTTTCGAGTGTGTGCGCATAATGAAGATCTATGGAGGACAGACGAGGCCGTTTGCCTGCCTACCTGTCGTCCGCTGAACGGACCCCCGCTGTCACGGTGAAATGACAATGTATACACACTATCTTTCCAGTACTATACAGTCATGATGAGAGTACGTTGCGTTTGGGGGGAAGATGGGACCTGAGGTGCCACCTGCCTCCGTTCTTCGTTTTCTTCATCCGATTATGAAGCAAGACAAGCAGGACCCATTGCCTCCGTGTTCTTTTCGTCGAGATTTGGGCGAGGTTCTTTTTTTTCTTTTTTCTTTTTCTTTGAAAGGGAGACGGCCTTGGGGTATTATCATAGAAAAAGACTGACCATGATAATTCACAGCACCAATTTTATTTGCCTGATTCCATCAGGATCTGAACTCAGGTCTGTTTATTAACAGTTACATAGGTACACCACTCAGCGACAGACACCTGTACTAGGACGCGTCCTCTGAATCCTGTGGCTGTAGCCACGCTTTCAACGCGCCGCACTGCGGCTGGTTTTATATACGTGTAATCGATGGGAATATTTGGATGCACTGGTCTCCTTGTGGACTGTTGGATTCATACTCGCCCCATTTTAATGTGCCGGCCTGCCTGTGAAACAGTTTGATTTTCCTCAGGAGAAAAATGATTGTCGTCGTCATCCAGCCCTAAGGGTCTAGAAGGACGTAGGGGGCCCAGGTGCACCACTTACCGAAACCCAACACACGTCGTGAGGCTCTCATCACAGGAAAAACTACCCAGAAGCTCACGAAACTCGGTCCTTGCCACGCACAAAGAACTTGTGGTGGCCAAAACCAAGAATTTCCAGTCTGGCCCGTCTGCAGTTGATGAGCTCGGCGGAGCTGCACAAACCTGTCTGCAGTTGATGAGCTCTGTCGACCGCCGTGAACCTGAGATCAACCTGAGATCAACCTCACCAATTCCGTCCCACAAGCTCTACGGAGCAGCGCGAACCGGAGATGAACCACGACCATTCGGAGGTACATCTGCCAGTCCCACAAGACTTGGTGAAGTCTGGTTGAGAATTCCCGAACACTATAGTCTTCGCACAAATGGAATGCCCGGTCGTTATTGCTGTATCTAGACTGGAACTTGCCCCAAATACAGCTATAAAGACAGAGCATCCTATTGGAGTGAAAGAAGGCTGCCAACTGTACCTAGAGTGGAAGTTGCTCTAAATACAGCTATAAAGAGTGGGGGTTCTATTCACATTTCTTGGACTCACGGAATTGGTGGCCTCGCGAAAGGTAGTGCCACCGAACTGTTGGTATTGCAGCCGGGGAGCGCAAATTCCGACCCACAGGAAAAAAAAAAAAAAAAAAAGTGCGGGGGCGCAAAACTCACAAAAACCTGAGGTTGGTGAGGGGTGCAGTGAGGCCCGTAAAAGGCAGTAGAAATGAAGTTTGTGGTAGTACTTGCTGGCATTCCTCCCACCCAGCAGTCCAGCAGGCCCTTTGTTGGCTTTGGCAGACCCTAAAGCTTGGAAATTGGTGTGGGTTAACCTTTCAAGACCCCAACAGTCGGTGCAAAGGATACAAAAAAGTTGGGCCTGTTTGGGAAACTGGTCTGGACAAAATCTTTCCAGACCCCAACAGTCGGTGCACAGGATATGAAAAAGTTGGGCCTGTTTGGGAGATTGGTCTGGAGAAAATCCTTCCAGACCCCAATGGTCACTGCAAGTGGTCTGAAAAAGTTGGGCCTGTTTAGGAAATTGCGCTGGAGAAACCTTTCCAGACCCCAAAGGTCACTGCAAATGATCTGAAAAAGTTGGGCCTGGTTGGGAAACTGGTCTGGAGAAAATCTTTCCAGACCCCAAAGGTCACTGCAAATCTTTCCAGCCCCCAAAGGTCACTGAAAAAGTTGTGGTCCTGTTTGGGAAAATATTCTGGAGAAAATCTTTCTGGAGCCCAAAGGGGGCTGCAAGAGGCCTGCAAAAGTTGGGCCTGTTGGTTTCCACGTCAGCCCAGCCCAAACTGCCCCCAACTCATGGCAGTTCTGCTCCCTCGTCAGCATCATTGTTTTTGGCCTTCCGAGGCCGGGGGTCTCCTGGGGCGAGGTTCCACCAGCCAAGAGGATTGGATGAAGCACCCGAATCTGGATGTGTTTTATGCAGAGATGCAGAAAAGCAGATCGATTTAAAATTTCTGCACCTCTCTGTAAACCCGTCCTGATTCAGATGTTCGGACGGGACCTCGCCCCTGATGCTAACTTAGGCAAAGGAAATCTCTGTCTTTTTCTTTCTGACACTTCAGAATGCTAGTGTGTTTTGCTGGGAGCACCACGTGCTGGAAACTTGGGTCCAGTGTTCGTTAAGAAGGCTTCTGTATTTAGAGGGGGAGGGGGGGGGAAAGGGGGGGGGGGAGAAGGCTTCTGTATGGATCAAGGAGATCGGACCGTGGCACATTGGATGCACAGATGTCACTTCTACAACGTTCAGGTGTGGGTTGTTAGACTGGTGTCATTTTCCCTTTTTGGAAACCTTTTTTTTTTTTCCCTCCTTTTTGGGAACTTGGCATGTTGGGTGCGCAGATGTATTTATTTTTGTGTGTGAACAAAATGCCTAAAGTAATAGTAAAATTACATTTTGGAAAAGGAGAGTACCGAGCACAGGTGCCTGACTGGTGCACCCATTGAATCACCATTCGTCCCACCACTAAAAAAATTGGGGGATTATAAGTTCATGAGGGCTACTGGTAGCACAGTGTGGAGAACTGGCAGAGTGGCAAAATTGGAGTTGGCGCGAAATAGGCACGATGGTTATTTCTCTGCCTAAACTCTTTTTTTTATTATTTTTCTGATTATTTTTTCAGGAAAGACCATATGACCAAATCTACCGGCTCGGCGGCTCTCAAATTTCCAGATTTTTCTGAGCATTATTCTGAGCCTGAAAAATTGCTGAAGTTGGTACTTTTCCGCTGGCCCATATTTGGCAGAGTGGGAAAAATGGAAACTGCACTGAATCTGTGTGGCAATTTTTTTTTTTTTTTTTTTTTTTTAATTCGACAACTATGCTATATTCTTCTCTCAAATCTTTCATCATCTTTCATTGCGCGGCGGCTGTCGTTTTGTGACCACGGGCAAAAAGAAAAAGAGCATACAGTCAGTCAGTTGCGCCCACCCGCCCAACCAGTCAGTCGCTTCTGCCCACCCACTCATGCACCCACCCACTCACGCACGCACTCGCCCGCCAGCCCACCCGCCCGACCGCCCCACACACAGACACGCAGACACATGCACCTGCCCGCCCGTCCACCGTCTAAACAATTTATTTATTTATTTCGAATATTTTTCTCGGGAAGATCACGACCAAATCTACTGGATTGCAAATTTTCAGAACTTCTGGTGTATTCTTCTGAACCCAAAAAATTGTCAAAGTTTGCACTTTCTTTTTCCTTCCTCCGGTCAATCTCTGCTTGAATTGCTGCTGACCTCCGCTTCTTCTGGGCTACCGGCCAATTTTTCGATGTCGGGCGGAGTGGTGGTTAAGGGTCTGATCCGACAGTGCACTTGTAGCAAAAAAACGAGAAGGGGCACGCGGCGATCGGGACGTAAAAGAAAATTCGGAGCCCACAGGCCCGACATTTGGCGGACTTTTCCCACACGTACGCTGAAGCGCCAAGGACCAATGGTGGACTGCCGGGAAAAGAAAAAAAAATTATAATCGACCGAGTTTTAGGGTGAGAGGTAGGTGTTGGGCCGGTTTTGGAACCGGTCGGCGAAAGCGGCTGCACACGCGGCGGCGCGGACACACAAGCGGCAAAGAGAAGCTACCTCGCTACGACTAGTCAGATCGGACCCTAACTGTTTTGAAACAGTTTGAATCCGGATGCAATCAGAAAAGTAAAATTCCTGTGGATTACCTGTGGCCGATCAGGTTGATGATGACATTTTAAGGTCTCCATTGGGTGGTGTACACACACAAAAAAAAGGGTGGGTTCTTGCAGTCTATGGGTACGGGGTCGACGTATGCCGCTTAGTTGGTCCCACCTATGCCGCTGAGTTGGGTTAGTCGCAATGGTGTGAGGCAACCGTGGGGAATGAAATGAGGACAACAAAAATGATACTGAAATTGTTTTTTTCTTGGTATCATTCTGCCATGTTTCGTGAGAAACAATCCGTGAATGTGTTTAAACCCACCAATACCTTTCCCTGCTTTGGAAAACAAATGTGCGGCTCGTGTACGACCTTATCTTTCGGCAAGTACCGGATGCTGTTTCGCTGGATATCCATCCAGGCAAAGCCTGCGATATGCAGCGAAAGGGTGCCAGTGTAGTTCCTGAGAGTCGTGGCTGTACATGCGCCGCCACTCTGAAAACATAGCTGGGAAAGGTACTGGGGGTTTAATGTCTGGTACTGTCTATGGAGAATGTTGGTTTTTATTTCTTTTGGGGGGGTTGGGGGGGGGGGGGGGGGTTGTTTTTAATTAATGTGGGTGCACCTGACAACTGTGTCAAATGAATGTGGACACTGTTTGAGGTAAGGTGGACCCACCTGACAACCGTGTCAAATGAATGTGGACACTGTTTGAGGTAAGGTGGACCCTCAGCCAATACGAACGATGTTGAATGTTTGGTGGACAAACACCCCACTTGCGCTCTAATTTGCACTTTCTGTCAGAAGGCGGCAGCGGACACGAATCATGTCTTACCACTATGTTGGTTGCCTTCACTCGCCATTCCCCGTGCAAAATATGTTGCTGATTTTGGGGCTTGCCGCACCACTTGCCAAGTGCCAACATGTTGAATGTATCTGGACCATTCTTAGAGCAGATACCAACGAAATGTTGGTGTTCGGTGAGTAGTTGCCGTGAGCCCCTTAGTCTAAACTTCCTTTGCAGGGTGTAGATAGCTCAATGGGTTCACTTTTTTGTTGTTGTATTTTTTGGGAGATTTGAACACGCCCCCGTCTTCTCTTGGGCTTGTGCTCCGCCTACTTGGAGGCTCCACTGGCTTCTGTTTTTTTTTTTTTTTTTTTTTTTTGTCTTTGGCTTTTGTGCCCGGAACCGGGGCGTTGGTCAGCTGTCCCAGTTGGAGTAATTTAAAAAAAAAAAGGGCTTTCAATAAATCATTTTGATTGATATTTGCCAAAATCGCTGACGAGGAAACCAAACTGGCATGTTGCGCCTCTGGAGTTTCTATTGGACATTTTGTTTCCCCATAATGACGTAGGATGAATATCTCGAACATTAAAAAGTAACCATGCTGAGTCCCCGTTACGCAATCTGGGGCCAAGTCCCACATGCACTGTTGAGTTGAGCGAGAGCTCAACGGCACGCCACCGAAAAGAGCCGCCATGAAATGATGGAAAACCGTGGAGCGCATTTTGTTGTATATAATTCAAAGAGGACGGGCAGTACAGAATCCATCATGCCGGTAACCTCGGCAAGTTGTCCTCGACGTTCTCCGTGATAGATTTCTACATCCATTACACTGACGGCCTGTCGGGCTGTATGTGACTCATGTGTGGCTGTGGATAGCAGAAGCTATTATGAGCTGTCAGACTGTTATGACAATGATGAGGCAGCTTTACGTTTGGATGTTGTTTCCTTTTGGTGGACCGTCGAGCCCATTGTTGCTCCTCTTGGTCAATGAAAAGTGGGGAGGGTCTGTGTTCATATTCCTCCGAAAAGCCTTTTTTGTCCTAAGAAATAAATCATGGCGAAAGTGATAAACGTCTTTTCTTGTGCCTTTCTTCAATAACGGGCGCTCCTCGATACGACGTCCCTCCGATCGGAGCTGCCTCCGACGATCTCCAAAGTCGCCCATTGTTGCTGGTGGTAGGAAATCCAACACTGGGCTGGCTGAGCGGAGCCGGTGGGATTTGGCCCTCGGAGAAGCTGCAGCACTACCGCATCTGCATTTTTTTTTTTTTTTTTTTTCCCGGAAACACATGAAATCCACGTTGTGGCAAAGTGAGGGCCTGCCACCCCGCATAAAGACCGGACTGGGAACATCACCCAGTTTCGCTTGAGTGGATATTCCAGGAAAGCCCAGAGAGCAAAAACAAACCCCAGGACAAACAGCAAAAATTAACCTACCAAACCCAGGGGACCCCTGATTACCTACCCCAGAAAACTCTGCTGCCCCTTCCCCTATTGGACTACCATCTAGCCTACCGTACGTATGCCATTCTGCCTAGTTTTTCGTTAGGGGTTCCAATTCAGGACAGGCCAGAGGACAGGCCAGACTTGGCTGTCGGATCCAGTCCTGCCCAAGAGATGATAGAACTTGATGGATTCTGGTGGGACCCGGCCCGTGGTGCAGTACGATAATACCGGGACCATTTGGGACAGAGGGACCAACTGACCCCTCGGACGGAAGGCTAAGAAAGATGTAGCACGAGAAAACTGCAGCACGGGTAACCTAAAGAACTGCGAGACGAGAGGAGTGCGGATCGGCTGGTGAAGTTCATCGCCCCTTGCAGGGGAACAATCTGTTGAATGACCGGTACGTTTCCCAGCGGAATTACGGAATTTCTTCATTGACGCCATTAACATGGTGCAACTTGCGGGACTTGGCCTGCAGAATCGTAAGGGCCATGCAGGCAAAGTCAAAGCGAAAGAATTTCACCTTGGCGCTGGTTTGGCAAAACTTCATTCGCGGTGGAGATCGATCCCAAGGAAAAGAGGCCTGGATTCCTCGCCCAGCTATGCAGTCCGACCCTCTGGCTACCGGTATGCTGAGCCTGCTGACCCTGGCAGTACCGGTAGGAGGAAGGCCCAAGCCTGGGGGGACCAGTAAAAAAAAAAAAGAGAAAACTACGGCGCAGTCAGGGTTCGAGTTTGTAATTGCACTTGAGGCAAAAGGGCCGGTAATGGTGAATGTATATGACCAAGGTTCCGGGTCCGGTGGGGTTGCGTGGGGGTGTGTTGTATTCGCGGGATTGCGTGAGGTGCAATGACAAACTGTTTTCGTGACCGCGCCGAAGTTACCCCCCCCAAAAAAAAGCAAAGCAAAAACACTAGGGACGTGAATGCAGCTGCATACATTCTTCCAAGTGCGAGTGTGAGCATGCCTTGTGTGCCAAGCCCATCAGCTCCGCCAGGTGGTTGTAACGACCGCCAGCACAAGAGACAAAAAAAAAAGAAAGGTGACCGCGGGCCGAGGCTGGAAGGACCAGTGGAAAAAGAAAAAGAGCAAAGCAAAAACGCTACCTTCTTCCCCCGAATACAACGCACGGTCATTATAGCTGTATTTAGACTGAAACATGACCCAAATACGGCTATAATGACCGTGCCTTGTATTCGGGGGAAGGAGGTAGGGATGCGAATGCGGCTGCATACATTCTTCCAAGTGCGAGTGTGAGCATTCCTCGTGTGCCAAGCCATCAGCTCCGCCAGGTCGTTGTAACGACCATGAGCACAAGAGCCAAAAAAAAAAAGAAAGGTGACCACGTCATCTGAATCCTGGAGAAAGAAGACAAAAAAAAAAGAAAAAATCCCCTGTAGCCCTGAAACAGGTCGGATACATTCTCACGAGTGGCAGGTGAATCTAAAGAATTGGGCTGTATTGGTTTTCTCTGGGGATATTCTTCTTTTCTATTTTGGGGAACTTTTCTGAGAAGGGACACTTGACCCGGGCCGTGGTCCCAATAGCAAAGGGGATAGGATAGAAATCCCGAATCTGGCCATGTTTAATGCAGAGATACAGAAAAGCAGTTCGATCTCGATTTCCTGCTCCTGTCCTCAAACGCGTCCAGATTCAGGCATTCAATCCGACACTCGTTGCTAATGGGGACCATGGCCCTGGTTTCCAGGAGGTGATCGCGGGATTTCGTGGGGTTTCCCGGTCCCGTACCTTCCTTTTGTGCAATAAAAAGTTCTATTGTTCTCCAAAAAAAAAAAAAAAAAAAAAAAAAAAAACATTCTCACGAGTGGCAGTGTACGTAGGCCCTCGCTGAGGACGTGTCAGCATGTCACGGAAACGACCTGCCAGACTGGCAGGTGAATCTAAAGAAAATGAAAAGAAAAAAAAAACAGAAGGTGAATCTATCTTAGATTGCGGACAGGTCCCCGTCGGGGGAAGCACTGGTGTGAGCACAGCCCTTTGGACTTCGTTTCCTGCACGGCACCTGGAGGGAGATCCCACTAGCCAGGTATGTGGATTAGTGTGACGGGTGGGGGACGGTTGGGGGACAGGTGGGTGGCAGCGTGAAATAGGGAAAATAAACGTAAAAAAACAAGGGCAAGAGTAACTCCATACACCATTTGCTGTAGGTGAGGGGATCGAACCCTCCCAAACACCTCCCAAAAATAAGGGGGCACATGCATGTCAAAGGAAGAGGACAACAGCATTGCCCATGTGAAACATTTGCAAGGACTACAGACAACTTGGACGAGGGTCTGACATGGACTGACATTCCCTCGTGATGGGAAACACCGAAAAATTTTGTTTTCGGCCTCTCTTCCACGCATGGGCCACGACCCAAAGGCGAGTGAAAGGTGAGTGAAAAGCAACACAAAAATAATGGGTCTGATTTTCACTCACGTTCGGGACACCCAGAGGAACACGGCAAGCAAAACAAAAGAAAGACCACCCAATGGGATGCCCCCAAAAAACATATATTTTTGAGGGCTAAAATACAGGAAAAACAAAACCACCGATCCCCATTCCCATCGACGGCGGAGGCAGGTCACACGCCCTCTACACTACTCCACATACAATGCTAGTGGGATCTCCCTCCTGTACACAGTGGACTTTTTTTTGCTTTTGTTTTTCATGCCACTGTAGCACAAAAAATCGAACAGCGGGCGCTGAGCATGCCCAGGAAGGTACATGCCACTCAGATGACGCTTGGTCCCTCTGCTACCGGCTGTCCCCTGGCCGGTGTCCCCATTGGGGGTTCCCTGAAGGCAATAAATAAAGGCCACCCTGGGCTGAAAAGGCCACCCGGTGTCAGATTAGACACAAGATTGAATTTCCCTGGGACTCCGGTTAATCCGATGATAATACCTCAAGGCCATCGCCCTTTCAAAAAAAAAAAAAAAAAAAAAAAAAAAAAAAATTGAGCGGCCACTTTGGACTCCAGCAACCACTAGTACCTTGGTGCGTGGGAAAATAGGGAAAAGTGGACGTTTTCCCAAACTCCTGAAGTTTCGGAGGCCGGGCCCGACGACGACTGCCATTGATAAATCTGATCGGCGGCCGTGGACATTTTCCCAAACTCCGAAAGTTTTGGAGGCCGGGCCCGGCGACGACTGCCATTGATAAATCTGATCGGCGGCCGTTGTTTCGTTTCGGCCTCCGAAAAGGTCGGAGGCCCACCGGAGGCCCGCTATTTTCACACGCGCCAAAGGTGCTAGTGGTTTAAAAGGGCCGATTTCGGGAACTTTTAGCAGGGCGAGGTACTGGCGGCTTAACCAGGCCTCCTCAGGGAACTATGTTGATGCCCCCCAACTCCACCACGTTGGGTCTAACTTTAGTCCTCGGATGGGGGTGTCCTTTTTTCCCCGCGCAGTGCCAGACTGGGACCCATAGTGACTGCGGACTTCAATGGGCGCACATTTTTGTTTGTGCGGCTGAATCTTGTTCGATTTTTATCAGATGGACTGGTTTCAAAATCCCTTGATTATGGAAGGCAGGCCAAATCCTTTTGGAATATGGCGATCTCGTGAGTATGATTTCAAGGGCGCAACGGGTTATATGGGTGTCCCCTGGACGACAGGGGACCAAGTCCCACACGTGGCTTGATCCTGTATTTTTCGAGCAACGGGTTATATGGGTTTTTCAGACTTCTTTCTCTTTCTCCCAAAGGATAGTAGGCGATCTGTTTGTAAGCAGCCTTATGTCGTAGCAGGTGCAGCATTGTGAAAGCACAACCTTTGCGGAGGAGAAAGATTTCTTTCTTCCAATTTTTTGTGCACCGTTAGTCTTCCGTGTATTGTGCATGATGTTACGTCCACTTCTTTTCATTCATAACATCTTACCTCCAAAAGAGAGGGCAGTGGTCATGTGGCTCCTAGGTCCTAGTCCTTTCATGTTACGAAAGCCGTTGTTTTTTTGCGGCGGTTTTTCCTTTTGAGGAACAAAAGTTTAGTGCTTGTATCGGGATTGAAGTTTGTGAAACTTTGTCAACCAGACTCATCAGTGCCATGTGTAAACTTGTAATGAGCGATTGTGCGGTGTCGAAAAATTGTGCCATGTTTGTCTGTGAATGAGAATTATAATGTTTTTATAAAGCTGCTACTTCAACCAGAATGGAGACATTTTGTCAGGCTTGTGGTATTGTTAAGAAAACTCTACTTCAACCAGATTGGAGTCATTTTGTCACGCTTGTGGTGGTGTTCAGTTGTGACCATACTTGCGGCACACCTGTGCTGTGTGCCGTGCGGTGCGGTGTGGTGCACAGGTTGCTGATGTGCGCACAGGTGCAGTGCGCAAGGCTGCACCTGGTGCGCGCGCACAGGTGCATGTTGCTTTCTGGTTTTTCTTTGTGTGTGTGTGTGTGTGTGTGTGTGTGTGTGTGTGTGAGAGAGAGAGAGAGAGAGAGAGAGAGAGAGAGAGAGAGAGAGAGAGAGGGAGAGAACACAAAAGGTGTGTGGGAGAAACAAACAACTTGAAGGATTCAGAAAACAAAGCAAAGAAGAACAGAGAATAGCATGACCCTCATCATAGCTGTATTGTCCCTGAAAAAGGGGACATATACATCGAACTGATTCCAAATTGACAGGGGACAGCCATTTTCACGAGCTCTGCGATTCTGGAAGTGGCAGCCATCCGTCCATCTTTCCAGTCTGGTACAGTGAAGATGAAGGTGCATCATGGAAACCGCCCGTTGTCAGTAGGTCAAGATGAAGGTGGGTCGTGGAAATCACCAGTTGCTGGTAGTGTTTTAAGCTGTCCAGAGCACAGAGCACCCTCAGCTCATACTCACACCAGAACTCCGGGACTGATCTGTGGATGTGATTGCAGTCAGATGCATCCAGGCCTGGCTGTAGTTCCGGTCAGATACGTTAGAGGAAATGCTAGTGAGTACGCTCTCATTATGACTGTTTCAGACCGAAGGAATTGCTCGAAGATTGGCATGATCCGCAAAACACCCCATTACTAGTAAAAGACGAAAAGCGAAAACAAAACAGGACGAGCAGAACTACCCGTTGAATCAGCACTGCACACTTCACGCTGACTGTATCTGACGAGAATGATAGCTTGCATACATCCAGAGTGACTGTCGGAAATCCACTCATGAAAGGCAACCTATCATTAAACCACCAGTCCTTGGCCCAGCTATGGGCCGTGGAAAAAAAATGGAGTAGAAACATTTCTAGTTGGATGAATTTGGGCGCTCCTGTAGTGGCCCGTACGTTTCCTAAAATCACATAGTGTTAACGGGCACGACTTTAGGAAGTACTGGTGGTTTAAAAACAAAAAAAGACTACCCAAAATGAAAAAAACGGGTGTGTCAGAAGGACCCGTTTGTATACATATCACGGGATGCAGCAGTTGTCGCACTCAGAAAATGAATGCATGGCGGAAACGTGTACATTCACGGGATGCAGCACTTGTAGAACACACACACATGGATTCTCTGACGTTGGGCAGAGGGCACTATGTATATATAGGGCACAATATATATATACGCAAGAGGTTTTGAACAGGGGGAGTTGTAAGGAAGAAGATTAGAAATGAATTCAGTTTTTCTTGTTTTCCTTGTTTTCTTTTGTTTTCCGCTTCGGCGCTCTGTTATCATGTGACAATATATATATTTATGGGCTCATTCGCGGCCTGAAAAAGAACTATGGCTCTACCACAAACATTTTACACCGCCTCCCCCACCCCCCCCAACTTTTTTTTTCCTCGGACCCCTGGAATTTTGGTGCGCGCAGTGTGCGCGCCACGTGCGTGGTGCGGAGTGCGGCACGTGTGTGCGGTTAACGCACATAGAGTGCGCCGCATGTATGGTTGTGATGTGTTTGTCCGTGACTGAGCATTATAATGTCTGTGAAGTGCAGATGGATCTTTGTGATGTCATTTCCACTGTTTTTGTGTGCAGTCAATTGTGATGTGTTTGTCTGCGAATCGGAATTATAATGTCAAAGCGGGGATGGATCTCCGTATTGTCCTTTCGGCCGTTTTTTGTGCGCAGCCTCTGGCGAATGCCAAACATTACGGCTTCAAGCAGGTTTGCGAGATTTTGGAGAAGCATGGTGGCACTGAAGAGGTGAGTCTCTCTCCTGCCATCTTTTTTCTAGTCAGGCCTGTACATGAATGGGCGTTGGTTTTTAAAGTCCTGGGCACCACCCTTCAGTAAATAAGGCTTGTTGCGTGGAGTTCCTTGCATTGTTAAATCACCGGCGCTACCGCTCACAGCCACCCTGGTTGTCAAGATCACTGCACTCTTTCAGTTGATGCCTGCCCCAGTTTCTTATCTTCTAGTCCAATTTTTTCTTTCAGGAGGTAGGCGTGGTTTAGGCATTCGTTTCTGTGATTGCAAGTTGGCTTTCTTTGACAAGAATATGGCGAGCTTGATCCTCTTTCTGTACTCTCCATGCATGAGGTTTGGGGTCCCATCTTTGTGGACTGAGCTGTCGGTTCTAGATGGTGGTGGGTTTGAACTCTGGTATGATCCCCGACCTCTCCCGGGGGGGGCGAAGTCCAGGTGGTGAGTCTTGCAAAGTCGCAGATCTGACGATCTCGTGTCGAGGCGCAAACTCGGGGCTTGTTTGCCGACTGTTGCGAACCCTGCTCCATGCAGGCAGTGACGTTTTGAAAGTAACGAGGCTCATCTGAACACCTCTTCTCTCTCTCTCCTTCTCTCTGTCTCCTTCCCTCTCTCCTTCTCTCTGTCTCCTTCCCTCTCTCCTTCTCTCTGTCTCCTTCCCTCTGTCCTTCTCTCTGTCTCCTTCCCTCTCTCCTTCTCTTCTCCATTCCAAGGCAGAAGTTTTATAGTCTTCTTTCCTGCCTTTCGATGTCTTGCTTATCCATCCCCCCATCTTCCTTTATTTTTGTCTTCCCTCTTCCTTTCCCCCTCTCTCCCGCCCTCACTACCTGCCTTTTTCCTTCTCTCTGTCCGGTCCCTTTTTTTGTACGGGCCCTGTATTGACACCTGAGAGTGCATAGTTTAGTATGGCTTCCATTTTGCCCTCCTCCTCTGCTCATTGTGCATGGATTCTTCTGCTTCCCTCCTTGTTTAACAGTACTTCTGCGCTCCACATGCTGAAAGTGTGTTAGCAGATGGTTGCTTGGGCACTTCCAGGTCAACCTCGCAAATGCAGGGAGCCTTGCAGCGGAAAACAAATAAAATATGGGGGAAGTTGGGAACAAGGAAGAAGGCAAAGAGAACAGAAAAAAAAAGAGGTGGAAAAATATTGCATCTGCGTTCGTCCGCTTGCCTTTCATCCTTTCTCCCTGGAATTTTACCCTTGTTTGGTTTATGAGTGCTTTCTCGGCATTATTACAATGCGACAGCACATGACAGCACATGGGGTAATTGGGGCATGGAGGCCACTTTGTTCTTCTGCAGCAGTACTCATGTTGTCGTCCTGTCCGTTTGTGTTGTCCAGCCAAGCAACCGGGGGTCTCCAGGATCTGCACCGGAGTATGAGATAGATCCATCGGAGCTTGATTGGGAAAAAGGGGTGCCGATTGGGAAGGTAATTTACAACTGCCAGATAGATCCATCGGAGCTTGATTGGGAAAAAGGGGTGCCGATTGGGAAGGTAATTTACAACTGCCAGTGTCATAGATGCTGTACGTATTGCACTGTTATGTTGTGTTCTGTGGACTGTCAACAGAACCAGAATTCAAAACAAGCTTAATTTATACTCCTATACAAGATTTACTCTAGTTTTGTGTGTGTGTGTGTTTTGTCATGGTCATGTTCACTCTAGGCAACTCCACAAGAAAAACATGCATGTGCCAGACTGTTTCATTTGACTTTCACCAACTCATCGGAAGTGTGTGTGTGTGTGTGTGTGTGTGTGTGTGTGTGTGTGTGTGTGTGTGTGTGTGTGCAGTGTCCGTATGTATGTGTGTCTGTGTATATGTGTGGTTAGTGGGAGTATTTGTGTGTGTGTGTATGTGTGTGTGTGCGTGCGCGTGGTTAGTGCAGTGTCTGTATGTATGTGTGTCTGTGTATATGTGTGGTTAGTGGGAGTATTTGTGTGTGTGTGTGTGTGCACACGTGGTTAGTGCATCTGTGTATATGTGTGGTTAGTGGGAGTATTTGTGTGTGTGTGTGTGTGTGTGTGTGTGTGTGTGTGTGTGTGTGTGCCTGCACTGTCTGGGGGGGGTTGGTGGCTGGTGGGGGGAGGATGGAGAGCTAGAAGGGGGATGAAAAGTTGAGGGGGAGTTGGTTCTTGCTCCCATATGCCGGTCATAGAACTTACAGAAGTATTTTGCTTTCTCACTTGTGAGTTCTTGCGGGCTTCTTGCAGGGTGCATTCGGTGAGATTCGACTGGTGAACTGGAGAGGCACCCGAGTGGCTGTGAAGACTATTCTACATGATCTTGCCTCAAACGTGAACGTTGTGTGAGTTTCCTTGACTTTTTCCACCTCTCTGTGGAATTGCCTTCGTTTGATTCTGTACGTGTGGTGGAATATGCCAGTGTTAGCAAGGTCTCACAGTGACCTGGCTGGCATTCTTTTTTTTTTTCTTTTGCAGTGTTCTCCGGACTGAATTCCCAAGTCAGCATTATTGCTTGCTTCCTTTGAGCGTTGATTACGTATTGCATATAATTGTTTAGAATGCTTATATAAGCATTGATTGTGTATTTAAGTGTCTTCTTTGCTCCATAAAAAAAATCCGGACCATTTCTTCGATTTATGCATTTCATCCTTGCATGCGTATCTTCTCGGTATCGGTGCAATTGACCTTAGGAGGAATAAAAAAACAGGTTTTTCTTGTTCTGCATTTGCCTGATTGCCTTGTTCTGTGTTTGTCTTCCTTCCCCCCCCCTTCCTCCATGTCTGTCTCTCTGATACAGGAAGGAGTTTAGAGATGAGCTGGGTCTACTGCAGAAGCTACGACATCCTAATATTGTGCAGTTCTTAGGAGCTGTGACTCAAAGTCTACCACTTATGCTCGTGACAGAGTACCTTCCAAAAGTAGGTCATCCTCTCCACACTTCAAGATTGAGTGATCAATCAATCAATCAATCAATCAACCAGCCAACCAACCAACCAATCAATCAATCAATCAATCAATCAATCAATCAATCAATCAACTAGTTGGTCAATCAATTAATCACTTAATCAGCCTAGCTCTCTGGGCCTTGCCTCATCACTCTCCAGGTGTAAAAAGACAAAACATGCGAGTGTACCTTCCGGCCTTCTAGGTGCACCTTCTAGATGAAGTTTTACTTTCCGTTTTACACATTTGGTGAGTGGTGCAGCGAAGGGCATTGCCAGGAACTGGTGTTCTGTGTCTTTTGATGCCTGCATGTTTCACTTATAGGAAATATATATGTATCGTAACTGGTACCGTGGCTTTTTGAGTCGGCAGTCTTTTCGTGCGGATTAGCACGTTCAGTATCGTAAGTTATGGGATTCTGCAGACTATAGAGGGTTCAGCCTCCTGATGAGTCTTTGAAACTCCTACGGAACAGTCTGTCACAGCCCCCCCCCCCCCGTTTGTTGTCCTCTTCTCCCTCCCTCTCTGCCTACGCATTACCGTCGGCAGCTCTGTTCGACGATATGTAAATGATAAACATCGTTGAAGGTAATAACTATTTCTGGACCATTTGACGTAATATAAGTTAATAAAAACATTATTCGATGATTATTGACCATTAACACTGGTAAGCATTATTTGAATTTATCGAGTTTTATTTCGCTTTTTCATTTTCCTGCAAAAATGAAAGCAGATCTTCACTTGTGAATGATTCGGCGCAATGCTTGTTCATTTCTGGTCCTGTCTCTTGCGGCAGTCTGACACATGGCAGAGAGATTCATTATCGGGCTCTCATCCCAATATATACTTGGGGTATATGGGCCTCGCTCCACTAACTCACCAGATGTGCAAAATGAGAGTGAGTCTTCCACTAGAACATGGAAAGATACACAGGCATATGTTTTTGTCCTTTTGTGTATGTGATGAGTGGTGCGTGAAGTCCACCAAGAGTGCTTCGCGCCTTCCAAATGATTTGTCATGATTATAAAGTTTTGTTATTGTTGCCGTTACGTTGGAGACAGATCCATGCAGCCCAGGACTCTCAAGGGATTTTGCCTGGGTGCTGACTGGGTAGGCCCGGGTCGGCGGAGTACCTGTCATTCCCAGTGAAAAATTCACACAGAAAAATGAAAAAATGAAAGAAATTCTAAAAATCAGAAAATCTGGACTAGTTAAATGTGGACACAAAATTCAGACACAATATCTGGACTAATCTGGACTAATTAAAGGAGTCCAAAATCAGAAATCTGGAAAAGTTATATGTAGACAATGTCGTGTAAAAATGCAATATGGAGCACTGTTGGCGGAATGGCAGCCCAAAATTCATTCTTCGTTGCAAGATATTGCTTTAAAAAAAACTTAAGTAGGAAATTTATTCCCCCACAAAGTCGCTTTGTACCTCCTGAACTCCATCTAGTCTGCTCAGGACAAATGCAGACCTGCCGAGCAGACAGTGATTTCGTTTCCCCCCGGCCCCCCCTTTTCTTTTCACCTGAATTCTTGCCCCATTTTGGACCCTTCCTTTTGATCTGAGCCAGATGGCCCAGTAGACAATATCATTCTCGAGTAGACAATATCGTTCTGGAGTAAATTGTGTTTATGGCAATACTTCAATACTAAAAAAAGTCCATAAACTCCAATAACCCCACTGACACCCCCATAGCCGCCCCCCCCACACCCCGATACACCTCCCCAACACCCCTTAACCGCCCCCCAATACCTCCTATACCCCCTGTCCCCCCCCCCATCCCCAAAAGTTTCTCAGCGGATTTGGGCTGTACTCGGCAAACGCAGTACATCCCCATAGTTAGATTGAAAAAAAATGCAGTGGATGGCTGTTTACTGACTGGTCGGCAGATCGCCGTCCAGTAGGCTCTACCGGTAGGCTGCAAAACATTCAGCGGTCGGGGTAGGCGGTGGGCGGGTATGCAACCCGGGGTATAGTAATAAAAATCATCATCATCATCATCGTCATCATCATCATCATCATATATTATCAAAACCTGTACACTTTTCCTCAGAGAAGGTTGTTCGCTGTGTCATGCATGCATTTGGCGGTGGTTCCATACCGCCACTGTGGGGGTGAGGCCTGCAGTTCTGGCTGATAGGTTGAAGTGCGGAGATCTTTGTGGCCTGTGGATAGGGTGATTTGCACGACATAATAAGGAGAAGAGGGGCAATGAACGCAGGCACTGCGCTTCGGTATGCCCTAGATATTGCAAGGTATGAAGTCATGGCTTCCTTCCCTTGTTTTTTTTTTTTTTTTTGAATTGCTTCTTCATCCTTTCGGTATGCCCTTGATCGCTTTTTTTTGTGATATGCACATGAAAGAAAGACTGGCAACATGAACTTCGTATCATGGCTCTGTGCGTGTTGGTGAGAGAGAGAGAGAGAGAGAGAGAGAGCAATTGTTAATGCTGTTATTGATAAGCACTTTGTAATAAAAGAGAGAGAGACAGAGAGAGAGAGCAATCGTTACTGCTGTTGTTGTTAAGCACTTTGTAATGGGATGATTCTTGTGCGGAGTATTCGGGGGAAGAAGGTTGTCATCTTGTTCGGTGTTCTGAAATCTGTGTGGAGTCTGTGGACTTGTTGGCTATGGCGTCTGTGACTCTGGAAGTGATCGCTTTGGGTGTTTTCATATACCCTTGCTCCTCCAGTCTCCAAATCTGTGTTAAGCTACCAGTACCTTTCCCGGCCATTGGTCTCTGACCCAGCCTTGTTTGTGCTGCAACTTTCAGGGCTCAGCCTGCCAAGGTGAAATGGCTGTGCACGCCGGTCAGGGGAAAAAAAGTTGCGCCCATGCTGGTTCTGCAAAACTCGATGTGCGGGGGGTGGAAACCAGCCTCGGGAAAAAGAGGCTCAGAAGGACTGGTGGGGTTGACATGGAGAGTCCAAAATTCTCCAAATGTGTTAAATGAAGTTCTATCTTCAGAATGGAAAGGAGCGCTCACCATTTTCTTTTTTTTAAGTCACAATTGGCGAGTGGCGAGTGGTCGTGCAGGGCGTTCAAATTATCTAGGGGCAGGAGGCCTCTATATGGGTTGTGGAGGCCTGTCGGCCCAAATAATTGAACCGGGTCCGGTAGGCCTGCCTGAATGTTGAAAAACTGACTGGCCTATCAGTTGGACATTTTGTCGAATGTGAACGAGGTGGAGACTTCCCCCCCCCCCCAAGTCCGCCTTGGCCTCCGTGGAGGTGCAATCTCTCTGCCCTGCTGTCGCGCTTCCCCTCCGTCGGTAAGCATCTTCTTATTCTTCTGGTAGAGCTCAGGAGCGTGGAATTCTGCGGTGCATTGGGAGGAAGAGAGAGGAAAGAGGGGGGGGGGGGGGGGGGGGGGGCGAACGGTTGGTGAAACTGCTCAACCAGTTCCTTAACCCGTCCTCCCCCCTCACCTTCTGCTTCTGCTTCTGCTTCTGCTTCTGCTTCTGCTTCTGCTTCTGCTTCTGCTTCCCTCCGCCATGTTAGTGCCATAGCCATAAGGAACGTTTTTTTTTCCTTCTTCTTTTTCTTCTCCTCCAAGTTCGTAGTCATAGGCAAACTTGCCAAAGGCAACGATTATTTATTTTCTTCTTCTTCTTCTTCTTCGACCGCCGCCCCACCCCCATGACAAGAAGCTCTCAGATCAAAATTTTCTCTGCGGATTCGGGGAGATCTCGACAAGCACAGTCCAACCCCGTCGTCAATAAAATATAATAAAATAATTTTGATCCGGTTTTGGGCCCAACAGGATTTGTTTCATGATCCGGTCCAGTCGGCTGGTTGCTGGTGCAGCCCTGCTATAAATAAAGAAAGAGTAGTGTAAGTCATTAATCTTCTTCTGGCTGTAGTCAGCCCATTTGGCTAAATGGCTGATGCATATATGTAACTGTTAGTGAAAAGACGACGAGTTCGAGTCCTGGTTGAACCAGATGAGCACGATAAAGCTTGTGCTCCCCCTCTGATAGAGAAAACATCTGCTTCTGGATGTAGGTGCAGGTTGGTAAGCCTTTGTCAGTTTTGTGGTTTTTGTGAATTTTGTGATTGTCGACTTTTGTGAAATTTCAAATTTGTGAATGTTTGTCAGAACAAACGGTGTGGTTTCTGAAATGTACGACAATTTAGAACAAAAGCTGCATTGCTGTGTCTCTGTTGGCTTTGGCGTGTGTATGTAGGCTGGCCTCCTGTTGGATCGGTGACCATGCGTTGCCCACGCTGTCGATCTTCTGCCATACATAGCTTTCGTGCATTTGGAAGCTGTATGAGGTGATTGTTTTGTGAATCAGAACTTTCAGGGGAAACTTAGCAAGAAGAGTCTGTGACTACCGACTTCACCCGAATAGAACGGGCGGTTATTATAGCTGTATCTGGACTGAAAAGTGCACCAAATACGGCTATAATGACCGGGCGTTTTATTCGGGTGAAGATGGTAGGCCCTTGAATGAAGTGTTTTGGAGATGCAGCATCAAATGTTTTGCAGGATTTTTTTTAATGGAATTTTCTGTTTGCTCCACTGCAGGGGAATGGCGTACCTGCACCAGAATAGACCACATGCCATTGTACACAGGGATTTGAAACCAAGGTAAGAAGAACGTTCGTGGATTTTTGTTTTTACTACTTTTTAGTACTTGCCCGTTCCTCTTTCAGTTTTTTTCCTGTTTATCAACAAAAAAGAAACGAACTAAATGAACAACGGGGGGGATGACGGAGGTCGGCTTTGGATCCTCTTGTCCAAAGCGCTCCGGTAGGCGTCGATGGGTTGTCGGCTTCGTATGGTATTGTCCAAAGCGCTCCGGTAGCTGTCGATGGGTTGACCTTCCTGTGGATATTGGACCATCCATAGTGAGATTCGTTTGCGTGGACATGCATACAGCACTAATGTACAAGGTATTAGCAAGAAAAGAAACTGAAAAAGGTAGGCGAGGGTAATGATTTGCTAGATCCAGAAGAAAGCAAAAGAAAAAGAGGGTTGTAGAGAGGGAAAAAGGACCGCTCCGTTGACGGGCCTAGCTCAGTTGGTACACCCATGAACTGTTGAGATACAGACCTGAGTCGGAATCCAGATGAGAACTAGATCAATGAAATCAAATGATTCTGAATCACCTGGGGCCAAACTGCCCGATAATGAAATCTCAAGGCTGTCGCCCTTTTTCAAAAAGAAAAGAATCGGCGATTCCCGATTCCAGCAGTCAAGAGACCATGGAAATTGCCCTTCCCAGGACTCGTTCCCTACTCGCCCCCCTCCCCCCCGCCCTGCGGGGCTCCCAGGGCTGAGCCAGCAACAGGCGGTGCGCTAAGAGGACGACCGGTCTTCCATCCACCTATCAGCGCCGTTTTGCAGCCAATGATGTCTCTGCAGCTACTGCTGTTTACTGCTGTTGCTTTTTATGGTGTCTACCATTTCTGGTGTTGGAGATATGTTAACCAGTTGATGGCCGACAGACCAAGAACCAGCTGTGTCCTCTTTGTAGAAGACCGGTGTCGCTGGCTCGTGAGGCTGAAGTCGACGGTTTGAATCTGTGCGTGCACGGAGGAGGGCTTAGGTCCGTTTGAGGACGGATCCGCATTAACAAACCAAACCTTCCACAGGATCCCTTCATCCACTCCTGGAAGCGTGGGACTCGTGGAGTGGCGAAACACAGAATGACAGCTCGGTGGTGATGTCGCGTTCAAAGTCCGGGACAAACTCTGGCTCTTATCCAAATGCCATGTACCCGAGCTTGGCCTCGGCTGCAAGTTGTGCCACAAGAGGCTCAATAAATTCTTCATTCCATGCAAATTTCCTAGTTCATCTACCTCCAAATATGGAACACATCCTCCCCCTACCCCCCCCAAACCCCCCGTGGGGTCAAGATCAACCTTAGTCGAGTGTTTTTTCTATTCAGACTGTGTCCTGCTTCCCCTGATCAATAATATAGGTAGGTAGGTAGAGAGAGGTATAATATAGCTTTTTCTTTTCTTTTCTTTTTCGAGGAATACATTTGCCCGGTTTTCTGTGTGAACTACCTCTGGGAATTTCATGAATCCCCACACGAATTCTCTTATCGTCCCTATCCTGGATCACCCACTGTCATGACGCCGCCCTTGGCTTCCGAGCTTCCTGTACAGGTTATCATTTGTCATTGCCCTTGTCAGAGCTGAGCTCCACAGATTCTAGACGTATTCTTGAATATAAGGTCATGTTGTCAGGACACCCAAAAGAAGAACCCACTTTGGAACCTGCCTTTAATCTCAAGAATGCAATGGAAAAGGAAAAGAAAAGGAATGCAGTGAGACAAAGAAAAGAAAGAAGAGGAATGCAATGAGACCGGTGCGTGCATTTGATCACCTGCTGTCTTAGACTCTGCTCTCTCTCTCTCTCTCTCTCTCTCTCTCTCTCTCTCTCTCTCTCTCTCCCCCGCCATTAACGGCATTCTGCACTCTCTGTTTCCCCAATTCTTAGGTTCTTCCGCCGTCGATCATCAAAGAGTCTTTTCACACAATAATAATGCACCTAGACGTGGGCTTCAGACAGGTTCTTCTACCCTCCATCCTCAAGGAGTCTTTTCACACTATAATACACCTAGATGCTGGTTTCCGACGGAGAGAGGGGCTAGTGCCGTGAGTGGTCCTACCCATCAGTAGAACCTTAATGAGCTGACAGTTGGCATCGGATGGAGAGTGGCGAGTGCCATGAGTGGTGTCCTACCCATCGGCAGGACCTTGATGTTTCAGGACTCGGGATCTCTTTGGAGCGCGCTCTTCACCCCGGCATAGTGGTAGTTGGCAAGTAGGGGTCTGTCTGTGGAAATCAGTGGCAGCTTGGGGTCTATAGAAAGGGCATGCTACTGGATTTCAAAGATACAGCAATTGTTTAACGGTGATGCCATATCGTCTTTTCTTCTTTTCTATTGTGGCGTGCAGGAACCTGCTTCAAGATGAGGCTGGGCACCTGAAGGTTGCAGATTTCGGGCTGAGCAAATTTCTGAAGGCCAAGAATGACAATGTACATGATGTATACCTTATGACAGGAGAAACCGGGAGCTGTAAGTGATGAACCTCTGTGCTGTTCTCTTCCCTCCCTTTTCACCGAGTTCTGGAGAGTTTCCTGTTTTATTGTTTTTTTTTTCCGTTTTCCTTTCTTATCGTCTATCCTTCCGATTCTATCGAATGTCCCAAAGGACTCTGGAGACTTTCCTGCGCTCTGTCCCTTCCCTTTTCACAGAGTTGCGAACAATTTTTCATGCGCTTGTTGTGCATGTACAGTCCACGGGTTCGTCTGACGAAGCATTTGTTGCAAGGGACAGTGGAAAAGTGCCTTTTTCATGTGGTGAGCTATGGTCTTTAACCCGAATACAACTACGCATGGTCATTATTGCTGTATTTGGGGCAACTTCGGAGTCTAGATACAGTAATAATGACTGTACAGTGCGTTCGGGTGAAGTCGGTAGTGTGGGTTCGTATGCACACAATGTATGACGGAGAAGAGCAAAGGGTGTGGGCTGCTGTCCTTGCTGAGCTGGGAACAGCCTTAGCTGGAACACGAACCTCGTCATTTCGGTGAGAGCACAGATTCAGCCAGCTCGGTGTGGGACGGTGAAGTGGGTGTTTCAATCATGCATGGTTTGATTAGCGTCGCTGCATCAAAGTTATGAGCGCCGCCACCTCGTGTACGTGAGGTGGATAAGCCGTAAGTGCAGAGTTGTATTTCGCGAGGCAGCAAAAAAAAAATGATGAAATCAGTTCCCTCAACTTTGCCACTGTTGTGACATGATGCAGATCAAGAATGGGCAACTTCCCGTCGGGAAGCACCCTCCGGCAGCGTAGCTCTTGCTATTGTGTGGCTGGTTTGGTGCCCAAGCAAGACGTTAAAAATACATACAAATAAAAATTGTTCTTAGAGCTAGGCTAGCAGACGTCCACATCACGGCTGTCCAGCCCGGATATCTGTCCTGGATGTCTGGAGTCCGGGACCACCGTCGTTTTGTTGGAATGTTCTCGCGATAACTGTAAGGGATCAGCCTTTTGATGATTTGGTGAAACTCTTTGGCGTGTCTGTCACAGGGGGGAAGTGTTTGTTCCGGAGTCGTCCCCTCCCCCTTCGCGCCGTCGCCTAATTGTTCCCATTGGGCTGGAAATACCACCTCTCCGAGCAGATGTCCGGGCCAGTTGTCCAGGCGGGACATCCCGGACAGCCAGGATGGTCCCTGACATCCAAGCGCTTTAGCATGCCCAAATAAAAATTGCTGTTCACGACTTGAGCATGTGCCTTTGTCCGGAGCTGTGGGGGTCCACAGTTGCAATGGCAGAGATTCCAGAGAATTACCATGGTCTGATGCCCGACACTAGAAAGTTAGAAACCCCTCTCTTAAGTCTCGGTCCCCACACAGGGGTTCCGGATGTGGGTTACCTTGGATGCAGTGGGCGGCGTCGAGGTATGGAATGTTCATTGCATGGTTTTTTGGCCTTCTGTGCTTTTTTTTGCCTTCTCCGTGCGTCGTTTTCTCTGCCCTGTCAACTCACGATTACACTTTTTACTCAGGATTGCTCAGCCTTTTGTTGCTTTCTGCGGTCCTCGCAATCTATGGTTTGCTGCAATCTGGTTTATTGTCATTAGCATTGCTCAGTGCCTTCCACTTGCATTGCTCATTTCCTTCCACTTTCATCAGTTCTTAAACCACCAGCACTTGGCCCAGCTATCGGCCGTGGGAAAAAATAGAGCAGAAACGTTTCTAGTCGGATGAACTTGGCTGCTCTTGTAGTGGCGCGTACGTTTCCTAAAATTGTGGCTTGTTCACGGGCACAAATTCAGGAAATACTGGTGGTTTATTACTTCTTATTTCTTTTTATGGCTTCTGTTTATGGACCTTGTTTTCCTGTCCCATGTACTATTTGTTCTTTGCTGAATGGTCCCCCCCCCCTCCCTCCTCTATGATCCTGACACGATGAAGTCATGGGGGGCTGGGGGTGGGGTGGTGGTGATTGATGTATTTTGGTCCTTACAGACAGATATATGGCACCGGAGGTCTTCAAACACGAGAAGTATGATAAGAGCGTCGATGTTTTTTCATTTGCAATGATCACTTATGAGGTGAGACCCTCCTGACCACCATTCCTTTCACAAAGTGTTCTGATGAATCTGTTCAATTTTCTGTTGCCTATTTATATGACACCATTTCCACGCCGGCAAGTGTTTTGTTGCCGTTCATGCGGTTGGAACGGGATTATAAATTCGTTTGATGTCACTTCACTACTACAGTGATGCGATTGTTTTTCTTTTACTTATTTATTTTTTTAATCAGTAATTGCATTGTTTCTTGATTTATGTTTATCATCCTTACGCAGACTGCCTTTTTTTTTTTTTTTTTTTTCGTTTTCCTCCCTCTGAAGACTGTGCTAAACTTCTGTATCGTTCCACTACACACAGATGCTCAGAAGGTCTAAAGTCTAAACTGGTACGATGGTGTCACACTTTCTGAAAACCTGATTCTGTTATTCATCACCCCTTTTTGGTAGCGACCTTGCAAAATGGCGTGACACTAGGTCATAGACACCCCCTGCTCCCCCCCGCCCCCCCACCCCACCCCACCCCCTCCCCATCGTTGTCTTCTGAGAAAAGACGGAAAAAAAGAAGAAGAAGATTCTATTGGCCTCCTATGGTAGGGGTGCCTTGCTTT